AAAATACTGGGGATAGTTCAGAGGTATGGGAAAGACACATAGATTTGAGAAATCAACATAAGGGACTGCTAGAAAGCCCTTTGGAGATCCAAGGTTACTCTATGTACATGTAAGCGTGTGTGTGTGTGTGTGTGTGTGTGTGTGTGTGTGTATGAGTGTCCATGAATGCTAAGTGAGCAGTAAGGCTCAGGGCAGTTGGGAGATACAGCAGGCGTGGGGCTATAAGAAAGAAAAGGCATTCGAGGAAAGTTTTATTTCTGCTTTTACATCCTCCCACCTGGTCTTTGGACAATTATTACATGTTCTAGCACCAAAGAAATCACCCAGGCGTCTCGAGTGTGCATGATAAGTACTCGAAAGCCAGGCTCAAAGAAACACTGAAATTATTTTATCGTGGTAAAAAACAAAATTTAGCTTTTGAACTGCTTTTAAGTGAATAATACATTTACTGAAGACACTTCTAATTAAAATTGCTCGGAACTGAAACAGTCTGCCTTGTAAGATAGAGATGTTATCACTACAAGTATTCTGGCATAGAAATTACTGGAAATGTTGGAGCTAGACATGTCACAGGAAGTGAGAAGTTTTACTGACTCCTGAAGTCTCCTCAACTTCTAGGATTACTAGATTTATTTATTAAGAGAATCGCTGGATAGCTGCTAGGGGAATTCATACTGGTAAACTGCAGAAATGATCTGTTTCTCTTCACTGACATATCTTGAAGTTTTGAAAGGTTTCCTATTCTGGTCATGTAATTTGGCAAAATGGTTTACTCATGTTGTCTAACAGAAACCCTATCAATTGCTGTGAATGGTGCGGTTTTGTTTTGTTTCATCGTGCCTTGTTTTTCTCATTTGTTAGTTTCCCCATTTGTATTTCAATCCACTTAAAATTAGCATAATTTTTAGGGCTCAGTCAATCCTTACACTTCAAAAGCCCTTTTCAGCCTTACAAAATATCTTCAAGCCACCTTCCAGATTTTCTCAACTTTTATCGAGATGATATTGGGGAAACAAAGACACTGGACACCAAACGATTCTGAAAATCCACCTGACCCAAACACAAACATTTAGAAAGATCTTCATTCACTTTAGCAAGACATCAGTTATGTCTACCCCTCCTTGGTCTGTGCTGGTGGAGAGAGTGAAAGCAATCTCGGATACAGGATTGGGCAAAACTGTGGCAAGTAACTTTTCTATGTTGTAAAAATGCATTTTCAAAAACCTTTTTATTGGGATATGATGCACACACCGTAAAAATCGCTCTAAATATCTTCATATACACAAGCTCATGCTTGCTCTTACAGATACAAAACTCCACATGTTCTCCAAAATCTTGCATACTTTACAGACTGCTTCCTCCAGCTTATTTTTTTAAAAAATTTTTAATGCTTTATTTATTTCTAGGAGATAGAGAGAGAGACAGCGTGAGCAGGGGAGGGTCAGAGAGAGAGGGAGTCACAGACTGAAACAGGCTCCAGGCCCCGAGCTGGCAGTCAGCACAGAGCCCGACGCGGGGCTCGAACCCACGAACCTCGAGATCATGACCTAAGCGAAAGTCGGACGCTTAACCGACTAAGCCACCCAGGCGCCCCTTCCTCCACCTTCTAAACTTGAGTAGTTTTTCTCCCTTAGGAAAGAGGTCAGCATTTCTAGACTGTCCTATATTTTGGTTTTTATTTATTTTTCCTTCATTCTCCTTCACCCAACGAAACTTACTTTTCCTGCATGGCCAGTTATCATGCTTCCCATCACGCAGCGCTCGGGTGACCATGGCAGCTGCGATTGGTCCAGATTAATAGGAGAGAACTGGAAGGTTACCTCCACACATTACTAATAATGAGCAGGCTTTTATCTCACGGTAATGGAAAATTTGCAGTCAGCACTCATTTGAATCAAGGAGATGTGGTATGAGTAAATAGTCAAATTGATTCAGATCAGAGATAAAAGTAGACAGACTCGTTAGGATAAAAGTGGGAAGTTGACTCATCCATGAGCAAGGGAGTGTCATGAAATTGGCAAAATATTTTTGTCTTTAAAAGAGAAGAGTATCCTACGTGGCATATTGAGTGTAACACATGGAAAATAATATTCATCATCTTATAGCACTCCATATGCTTTTTTGGACTTATCTCAATTCTCATTTTTATAGAAACCCAAATCATTAATAGTAATTACCCCCTCACACACATATTCAGTCTCTATAGATTCAAATGCAGTTATTATTTGTCTGACCTTTAGAAAGCTATTGAAACTCTGATGCTCACTCAGTTCTCCCTTCTGCAAAATTGAGAGAAAAATTATACTTACCTGCAGGAATGTTACAATGATCAAATGAGGTACTACATGGAGAATGCTTACAATAATCATTGCCTGGCATTTATGTCAAATTCTTCCTTCCTTCCTTCCTTCCTTCCTTCCTTCCTTCCTTCCTTCCTTCCTTCCTTCCTTCCTTCCTTCCTTCCTTC